GCCTACGTACATCTCTTATTTCTTATCTCTTTAATTTACGACTTTTTCTTTTTCCCTTTCTCTTTTCTTTTTCCCTGTATCATTTCCGGTGAGCTAATCGATTAAATAGGTCAATGTCTAATCCTTACCCCCTCCTCATCAATATTAAGTATTGTAATAAAAATAAATTTTAAAACTCCCCCTTTCCACTCTAAACCCGTCCATGTCTCTCACACTATTTCTTACCACCCTCTATATCACTTTATATAAGCTTAATACTGCTCTTCAAATGTCTAAATAAATTATAACTAATGAAGCCTTAAAGTGGTCTTTTTAAATTATATATATATATATATATATATATATATATATATATATATATATATGAAGATATTTTTGTATGTACAAAATTTAATAAAAGTATAAAACTTAATATTACTAGACATATTAAAAATGGGCGAAGTGTTTAATTTTAAATTAAGTCTCCCGTTGAAGCCTGAAGAGCGGGAGCGTAACCGGTTGCTTCGCCCGTTTTTAATGTCTAGTAATGTTAAGTTTTATACTTTTATTTCAATCATATATATATATATATATATATATATATATATAGTTATATATATAACTCCTGCAACTCTCCTGGATGGTCTCCTTATTAATTTGGTGAATGCTGCGATAATTACTGCCTTCAGTTCATCTTTGTTGTTACATGGAATTTTGTTGGTCTCACGCTCAACTGCCCCCCCACACACATAATAAACATAGGTTGCAGTCTAGTGGGAGTTAGGTAGACAAATATAAAGGGTGATGTAGTCGCAGAAATTTTCTGACAAACATTGCTAGGTTCTCCAACTTGTGTGGCATGGTGCAGATTCCTGTTGCCAAACATAAGGTCTTCCAGCAGCCGCCCCTCTTCACATAGGGCAGTACTACCACCTCAATGCACTTGATGTAAGCCTCCATGTTGAGTTTGAGGCCCTGTGAGAAAATGAATGCAGACATAATGTCACCATTTCTAGTGAATACACCAAACAACGGGATATTGGCTGGATATATCATCCAATTGTTTTCGAATCCTCCGCTCTTTGAAATATTCCTATTAAAGCTTCCGGTGCGAATGTCAAGCTGTACAGCATGCCTTTTCCAAATTACTGACGGAGCGAATTGCGCCATGGTACTCTTTTTCACAAAGACAGTGCCCAACTGTGCCTACCAGAATGTGCAATCGATAAAATTCAAAACAAACAAAGCGCATGCGCGAAATGAAAAATATAATATGGCAACAATTTACCCATCAAACCCTGTGTGTGTGTATATATTACGGATCAAACCATGTGTATATATATATATATATATATATATATATAATCCCTGGTTAAACCTAAGGTTGAAGAATCTATTTACCCGTACTTTATGTTAAATACATCGATTATGAAGACTATCGACTAAACTATATATGAATCAATGCATGTACTAAAAAAAGGCGACATTTCAAATAAAATCAAATAATCGATATGAAAAACTCAAAGATTTTATAAAACTGAATAAAATGCAATTCTTCGGTATGATACGTCTATTATTAATTATTGTTTTAATTGCAAGCTAGTAATTGGTGAATGCTAATCGACTGAGATCAATGTAGCCTTTTTCTCTCGCGTCTTTTTAGTGCCATTTGATTTTTCAATTTCTTTTTAAAGCTTTCTGTTTAACACGCCGCCATCAATTGTGTTATCTTCAAGCTTTCAAACGGAATTGATCTTCTATTTTCGCAACGAATTTCTAATTGCTCAATAAATGTTTTTTTCAGCTTCATCGATCCTTGAATAAATACCAGAAAACTCACATATTTTAACTTACTTTCTGCAAAAGAGAAATTATCTGCCACAATTAATATTTTTTTTTAAATTATTCTGGTAAGCCAGAATACAAGAACGATAATTATCGTATCCACTCGTATAGAGGTCAGCTTTCAATTATAATATACATCTTGTGAAAAATTATTTCCTGGTATGGTGGGGGCCATCATTACCCGCACACAAAATGATCTTGAGGAAGCGTGTTCAAATTTCTCCGAAAACCTGTTCCTTTTCACTTTGAACACTTAACCCTTGGAGTAACGGACGTTGTTCAATGAAGAATTTAAGCCGACAAGGGGATCCGGCACTTGCTATATGAACTTATTCTACAGCAATAGAAAAAAAACCTACAGCCTACACAGTGCATTGTTGACAATTAGATTCCATAGCGTCAGAGGTTCTTCTGCACAACCGACAGTCCGGGATATGACGATAAACTATATCCTGCAGCAAGTTTTCTAATCGGGAGATTAAAGCTTGCCGTGGAACCATTTCTTGATTGTTGTTGTTCCCACTTCATCAATGATCCGGGGTGGTATCACCTGTTAGGGTCCCAAATATGGGTAAATAGTGAGCCCCCAATCAAAAACACTATCAAAGTATAAGAATAAATTTTTATAGTAAAAATACCGGCAATATATTTTTATATAAAGAAATAACCAAAATACATTTTAAAGCCGAATGGCTAGCAATATATATTATAATCGTAGTTGAAAGCATACAGCTGCGTTCAAAATATATTTCGTTGATGCCATAAGATTGTGTTCAAATTCTTAGATGAACCCATATGTCGCTCTACAAATCAAACAACAGCCAACATGAAAGAACTCTTTCATGGCATTAATCCAAATAATATCCTAAAATCTTCTAAAAAGCTCAAACTGTATTCCAAAAATTAAACTCAACAGAACTACAACATAAAACACACATATCACCGCCACTAATAATTATGTCCACACAAACATGGATATGTACAAAAGCTGAGTATCATCTACCATGTATTCAACTGTGAAAGCAGAATAACATAGATGCCCATAAATATAAATATTTAAAAAATCTATTACAAAGACAATTGATGAGATATCGGAATCATAGAATTGTTCTATGTACTCAGTAGTTAACAAAGTTTTTAATCACATTGCATTTGCGTATTTCAGGTATCCTGTTAAAAGAAAGGTAATGTTAATAGTACCTGGAACAAGTACTGTTAACATTACCTTTCTTTTAACAGGATATTTCCAGACCAGTGGATTGGACAGGATGGCCTAATACCCTGCCCACCTCGGTCACCAGATATCACTCCCCTGGACTTCTTTCTATGGGGTTATGTTAAAGATATCATGTAGCGAACAAATATATGGGACATCACTGACCTAAATCAAAATATCACTGTTGCCATTGCCACCATTGATGAGGCTATACTACAGCCAACATGGTAAGAAATCGAGTACCGTCATGATGTGTTTCGTGCAACTAATGGTACCTATATAGAGGTGGATTAAATTAGTTAAAAAAAAGTCAATATCTGTAATTTCTTAACAATTTCCATATAGTTGTCTATTCATTTGCTTTTGCAGTATTTTTTTTAAATTGTAAAGAGACTTTATGGACGTCATGTAATATCATATTTTTTAGTATTTCAAGAATATTAAATTTCGGTATTCATTAACCCGATAGCTATCATCAAGTGGAATCAATTGAAACTGTGATTCATTAGACAAGGATACACGCAACCAGACTTCCGATTCTAGTTTTTGATGTTAAGAATCTAGATGAAGCATTGTGTCTGATGTCTTCATGTTACCATGGGTACTCTTGTAGTCCTCTGCTCCTGTAGAAGCTGAACAACGCGGTACTGACCTGCTGGATATACAGTTCGTACTTCCTGCATTGAATTTCGGTGTGTTTTGAACCAAGTTACTAAAACAATTACAGAAAAGCTGTCTCTAGTGATAATAATTAAAGATCTGTAGTCGGCCATGAATGGTTCCCTGGATGGGGTAATGCCTTCTATCGGGTATTCTCGGTACAATACGACACTGATAATTAAGTTATGTCATATGTCCTTAAAGTCTCAGAAATTATGTGCCCAATTTTCTGGCTTCCATTAACATATACCGATCGAACCTCAGTAATTAACCTGGCCTTGCTATCAGCAACCTATCTGATGTTCTAAGCTCTAAAATTTGCCACATCAGTGTACACTCCCACATACACACACACACACACACACACACACACGCACGCACATACACACACACACACACACATATATATATATATATATATATATATATATATATATATATATAGTAATCCACAGATAGACTGTTTAGCTGTATCGTACTGTTTTGTTGTATGACAACTCATCAGTGTGTCTAGACAAGCAATTGTTTCAAGCTGGGATCGAAACCCGACTGATCAGTCGGAGTCTCTCTCACTCAGGATATCAATACACAGCCGAGAAAATATTTTTTGAACCCAGTTTATACGAGATATAAGCATTACCGGCAACCAGAGTGCTCTATTCATAGCGTAGAGCGGGAATTAGTAAAATGACTCTGTTGAAATAAATTATTATAATGGTACCTTCAAGTGGTCTATATACATATATATATATATATATATATATATATATATATATATATATATATATAGAGAGAGAGAGAGAGAGAGAGAAATGAATAAAGATAAAAACAACTTTTCGATGATTTTTCTCATATATTGGACTGTATCAAAACAAGCTTAATGATTGCATTTTGCAACAAGTACTTATCAATAAAAGTAAAAAGAAAAGTTTTCTTTTTGTATTCATACATTTTGACTTTTTATAGATATATTTTTTATTCATCTCTGAATTATTACACACACAATATATTTACAGTGATGAATAAAAAATGGGTTGTCTGTTTTAAAAACGAATTCTTCACTATAATAACGCTTGAAATACTGTATTCCCACCTTGTATACTTATCGGCAGGATTTAACACGCGTTACTTTCTTAGTAGAAAATATTAGGTTGGTGCAAAAATAATGACGTAATAATGTCGTTTTTGACGTTAAAAAATACGTCAACAAACGACATTATTACGTCATTATTTTTGCACCAACATAATAGCATGTATGATTGTCACCAAAAGTAACAGATTCCCAACATGCATCAAGGAA